GGCCATAAAACCACGTTTGGCGGAACCACTGGTGCAAGGTGAACTTGCTTTTGGTGAGGTCGTGCTTCATTTTGTGCCGGATTCTTTACATATGACACCTTCATGTTCATGGTGATCAGATTACTACGAATATATTTATGTATATTCATCAATATCCAGCACTGTCAAAAAACAGAAGATTAATAAGAGCGAGTGAAGCCAGGGGGGAACTCAGTTGCAATTCGTTTGAACGTTTTGTAATGTTTTGTTTCTAGTAACTTTTTAGTGTTCTAAATGCGTTTCGGTTTGCGTTTATGGATAGTTATATCTTTTGTATGTGATATAGCGCATAATGTAATGAATGTCCACTTGCACTTGGAAGACGCTCTTGATGCTGCGTTGACAAGCTGTTGAAGTAACTTGGAAAAAGCTTTTGATTCTATGTTGATAAGATGTCAAAGTAACGTGGAAGATGCTTTTGATGCCATGTTGACAACATGCCGAAGTAATTGGAAGACGATCTTGATGCTACGTTGATAAATTGAAAACATGTTGAAGTAACTTGGCAGACGATCTTGATGCCACGTTGATAACATGTTAAAGTAATTTGGAAGACGCTCTTGATGCTGCGTTGATAAAATGTTGAAATAACTTGGAAGACGCTCTTGATTCTATGTTGGATAACATGTCGAAGTAACGTGGAAGACGCTTTTGATGCCATGTTGATAACATGCCGAAGTAACGTGGAAGACGCTCTTGATGCTCGTTGATAACATGTTGAAGTAACTTGGAAGACGATCTTGATGCTACGTTGACAAATTGATAAATTGTTGAAGTAACTTGGAAGACGCTCTTGATTCGATGCCACGTTGATAACATGTTAAAATAGTTTGGAAGACGCTCCTGATGCTGCGTCGATAACATGTTGAAGTAACTTGAAGACATTTTGATGCTATGTTGATAACATGCCGAAGTGACTTGAAGATGCTTTTGATGCCACGTTGACATCATTTCGAAGTAACTTGGAAGACGCCTCTTGACTGGATGCTTCGTTGATAGCATGTTGAAGGTATCTTGGAAGATGCTCTTGATGCTACGTTGATAACATGTCGAAGTAGCTTGAAGACGCTTTTGATGCCACGTTGATAATATGTCGAAGTAATTTGGAAGACGCTCTTGATGCTCGTTGATAAAATGTTGAAGTAATTGGAAAGGCGTAACACGATACGAAAGAATCACACCTCAGCAGAGGTGTACAGAATTGGGACACATTTGCGAGTGGCGACCATGAGTAACAAAAGTGACGCTGTTGCCCAAAGGCCACATAGCACGGCGCGACCAGCACCTCCAACTTGTCGACATGCAGCTGCAAGTTATTTGCTTGAGGTGCAAGTCCGCGACGAATATAGCAAGGGTTCTGGCAGTCATTAAGATGATCGTTGGCGGCGGAGCTGCCCGAGGCCACAGTAAGAGGCGGTTTATAAGGATTCAAGGCATTATGACCGTGCTCTTGTTCTTTATTCCTCACTTTCTCTTCCTATTCTGCCGCCAAATCCAAATGCGTGAAAGCAGTTTTGACGAGGGAATTTGATTTCATTTTTCTGTTGATGTGCTATTACTATTCTGGTTGCTGTTTGTTAGTTGGCAGGTCATTCTTTTGGAGGCAAGTGAAGCGTGCAGATTTATGCAGCATGCGGATATGCCTGCAAAACAAATCGTAATAAATCATCAAGTTCAATGCTTGGACTTGCAGTCGTCCTCCATTTCTGCTTTTGGTATTTTCCACATCCGCGATCGATGACTTACGCAGCAAACAACAACACGCAAAACAATTTATCCAAACAAACTGCAACTTTACATCCCATTCAAAGTCTCTCTCAGTGGTTCTTGTTCAGAACAAGGGGTCCAACCGCATCTTCTCCCGCAGGGATCATGATCATCAGGCTTATTCTTCGCGGCCACAACTATGTATAGAAATATGCCTAAATTTACATGTTGGACTGAAAACTCTGTATTGGTTGCATACGTTTTATGACTCTGGTCCGTTCTCGGTGTTGTTTGGTTGTTGTCTGTTTTTGTGTGTTTGTGGGTTGCTTGGTTGTTGTCTGTTTTGTGTGTTCGTGTATAAAGATCCGTTGCCCTGACTGACTTGGGGAGCTCTAGGTCGTCGATATATTGTTTTCGACGCTTTTGTGGTTTAGCCTTTCCAGCGAAGGTAGAGATTGGTGGTGAGAACAAATTTTTTTGCATGTGATTCTTAGACATACGTCCCACCAATCTTTTGACTGCTGTTTGTAGTTGCACAGCCGTCACCGGCTGGATTCTTGTCACGTAGTTCATAACGATTATTGTTTTGAGCAAATCGACCAAACTAAAAAACATCGATATCGCGGCTTCTTAGAAAAAAACAACCTTCCGGGGTACAGCGGCGACGGTGCCGCTTTAGGTAGCTCTACTTTTCATCGCCAAGTAGGTGAAGAAGGGAAGGAACGGGACAAATTTTTCAGACGGACGCCAGAAGAACAGTTATTTGAGGAGGTTGGCAGAACTGGCTGGCAATGTGCAGTCCACAAGGGCAAGGTGGTTCCTTTTGATGCCCTGTGGCTGTTCAAGACCGACCACTTTCCCTCTAGAAACACCAAGGTGGAGGAGCTCTTAGTCTTAACGTCAGTGGTAGCTGGTAACCTTCATTAACCTGTGCGCACGTGCTTGGTGATACGCTACGCGTGCTTACTGGCAATTGTGTTGGCATTTGCGCATGTATTTGATGCTGTCTTCGGCACTGCTTATGTGCACTTGCGCCAGTAGTGGGTTGGACTCGTGTGGTGTGTTGTAAGGATGGTGGAAGTTCAAAATCTTGCTGTCCGTCTGCCACCCTAAACAAGGTCCACTTGCATTTGCAAACATAGTGTGGTGGGGTGTGGTCGACTAAATATGTGTATTTGAATTTGCGCGTGTGTGTTTGATGCTATTTTTGGCATTGTTCACATGTCCAGCAAAGGAAAAAATTGCAATCCACACTGGAAGCGTGGATGGTGCTTGGAAGCTCTTGAAGCAGAACCTGCCCCAAAAAAACTGAAAAAATCTCGGCAAGAGACCGCAAACAATGTGGAGGAGTGAGAGGATACTGTATGATAATGTTGATGATGATGGTGATGATGATGATGAGGAGGAGGAGGAGGAGGAAAATGTTGCGGACGATGATGTTGAGGATAATGAGGTTGTGGATGATGATGCCGAGGATGATGATGTTGAGGATGAGGATGAGGATAACAATGCGGAAGATAAAGTGGAGGATGATAAGGTGGATGATGATGATGATGATGATGGTGATGATGATGATGGTGATGATGACGATGATGATGTTGAGAAGGAGGATGATGAGGATGTTGCGGAAGATGATGACAAGGATGATAGTGTTGCGGAAGATGAGGTGGATGATGATGATGTTGCAAACGATGAGGTGAAGGTTGATGATGTTGAGGATGATGAGGTTAAGGGGGAGGAGGAAGATGATGATGTTGAGAATGCTGCATGCTGATGTATGTTGAGGAGGAATAAGATGATGATGTTGAGGAATGTGATGTTGAGGAGGAGGATCAATCCCAAGACCGGGACCCACACCTTTTGCGAGCCTGCGCAGTCGAAATGCATTTGGGCATTTCACAAGACCCACTTTGTGTGGAAATTTACAGGAAAACCGCCGAGCCCAGAACCGCGCCGCATGTTTTGTGCGGGCCTGCGCTGTCGAAATGCAGGTGGACATTTCACAGGAGCCATTGATACGGACATTTACAGGGAACATGCCGCAGCCCAGCGTGAGCCCAAAACGCGGACACACATTTTGTGCAAGCCTGCGCAATCGAAACGCACTCAAACATTTCACAAGAGCCTCTTGACACGGAAATTTACAGAGAAAATTCCCCGGGCCCAGAATGAACCCAGAACGCGGACACACATTTTCTGGGACCTTGCATTCGACATGCACTTGGACATTTCACAAGAGCCATTTGATACGGAAATTTGCAGGTAAAATGCCGGGGCCCAGAGTGAACCCAGAACGCGGACACAAACAGTGTGCGAGCCTGCATAGTCGAAATGCATTTCAAGATTTCAGAAGAACCACTTTATACGGAACTTTACAGGAAAAATGCTGTTCCCCAGAATGAACCCAGAATGCGGACACACATTTTGTGCAAGCCTGCGCAGTCGAAATGCACTTGGACATTTCACAAGAGCCACCTCATACGGAAGTTTACAGGGAAAATGCCGGGGCCCAGAGTGAACCAAGAACGCGGACACACATTTTGTGCTAGCTTGCGCAGCCGAAATTCACTGGGACATCTTACAAGAGCAACTTTAGACGGAAATTTACAGGAAAAATGCCGCAACCCAAATCCAGCACCGTGATCAAGCACCGGTCTTTACACCTACCGTAAGAACCCCTCAGTGTGGACACACTGTTTGGGGAACCACTTGTGGATACAGTCCAGATATGCTGTGACTGGTAAAAACATATGCCCATGGAAACAAAATTTCAGCAACATTTTGCGTGGGAGTCCTCAAACATGAATCACTTCGACACATTGAAAATGTTTAAACCATTATTTGTATTGGAATGTTTGTTTACTTTCAATCTTGATTTCATGGTGATTCTGTTTTCCTTCCCTTTCAGCTTGATGCTGGATGCCAGCACGAAAGCGGGGTGCTGGTTGTTTGAGATGTGATGCATTGTTTTGAAAAAACTGTAAAAATTGACTTTTTGTACTCAACCGAATACTTCTCCCTTTCTTCATCATGCTTCACACAGTTCCAATGGTTAAAATTTTGAGCGCAAATTTTTGCAATGGTACACAAAAAATGCAAACCGATTTAACCGATTACAACATTTTGTTAATTTGCATTTTCTGCTGCATGTGATGCATGTTTGGCATCGCAGTGAATTTGCCCTGTCATCGCGTGATCCGTCTGATTTGTGGCCCAAAATTATTGAGTGTTCGGACCCCTAACACAGTTGCCACATGTTATTGCAGTGTTCGCACATCCCATTGCAATGTCCGCAAAGTAATCCAGTGGAATTGACTACTTCGCAGCTTGCATGAACAATTCAAGCATTCAATTTCCAACATGAAGTGAAATGGTGCAGATTTGCCTCAAGTGAATTGTCCTTCTATGTCTGCGTGTGTCAGTTTCTGTTTGTGTGTGGTGTCAATGACAAAGGGTTTTTGCTGCACTATTTTCGTTTTTCGCAGCCCAGGCATAAGCGTGCTGGAGTGCGAGATCTACGGCGATGGGGTTTGACCTCCGCAGCTGCAGCAGTCATTGTTCGGTTGCCACGGGCAGTGTCCTTCGGACCCATCAAACCATGCAAAATGAACAAACTTTCGTATCAGTTGATTTCCAAGATCATTGCACGTTACATCCAAAACAATCCAGAGCACAGTTTGCATTTTGCAATCGCATGTCATTTTGAACCTTTAGTAGTAACAAAAAAATTGACGGTTTGGAACGCAGCATTGCCAGTGAAATGTTGCCTGCACTGCATCATCAGAACCCTTCAAATAGTTCCAGAGACACGACCTTCTCAATCCACTTGAGGACAAGACGTCGCATTCAACGCAAAGTCGTGCCTTGTCAATTTCGAAACAACTCTGCGTGTTGTTGTGAAATTCATGACTAATGCACAGCTCTGGCAGTTTGGAACACCTCCTGCAGGTTGAAATTTCAGCGATTGATGACTTAGCCATTCGGAAGATGGAGTGCCCAGGCTTTGCAATGTTGAAAGACGATGCTGATTCTCACTGCCATCATTCCTTGGATCCAGCTGGTTTGAAAGAGTATGACAGCAACCTTCAGCCAATTAGTCACAATGCTTGCGCTGTTGCTGGTGCTGCACACGTTCTTATTTTGTTATGCCCTAGTACCTAGTACTAAGTTTTAATTTTGTGACTCCTCAGATATCCTTGTTGGGATGCTTTGTTTCGCCAAAGGGATTGTTGAGGAGGATTGGGCAATATGAGCATAGGCATGAACGGAGACAAACACACACACACATGCACATATTACCTTATTTGACAAAGGATGCAATGTCAATGGGAATCTGCACGAACAAGAGTCAGTGTGGGAATCTATATATGGGGAAAATTGGGAACTCCCAACTTTTCATTCTTTTTCAGTTGTATTGTACGGCTTTGGCGGGCCGCTGGTTTTGGCGACAGATGGGTTTGTCTGAGAATAGGGTACCCAAAATCCATCAAAATCCATCAAAATCCATCAAAATCCACTGGTTACATTTGGTTACTGGTTGATCCTTTCTTTACCAAACTTTAGCTCCTATTTTTAATTGTTTTAGGAGCTGAGGCAATGGCGCTCCACTCCTCCTGTTGAAGAACTCGGAGAGTTGGCCTCCAGAGTCGTGGCGGCTGCGGAGGAGCTAGAGGCCGGGGCTGGGGCCCCTGGGGCAAAATCTGGTGTTGTCCAAAGTTGCGTTTTTTTAAAAATGATTTCAATGGGAGAAATGATAAAACATTGATTTTTTTGGTAGCCTATGCTTAAGAAAAGCCATCTGAAGGGGTTCAACCTGGCTGAAACCAAAACAAAGGAGACTGACCAGGGGGAATGTCCAAAATTGATGGACTTCTGTTTTTTTCTTCAACAAAACAACTGGGTCTTGGAGATGTTTGCCCACAGTGGCCGGTTGGGTGATGTTTCAGTGAACAAATTCATGAAGCTTGGGATCTGTATAGTGACGGGGAGTTGAATGGTTTGCGATGACATTTGGACATCCTTTCCTGGCACTTTCAAAAGATTCCAAGGCTGGCCTAGTGGAGAGGTCCTTGGAAGCTCGCATTTTGTTGCTGGCGGCTTTCTGTGGTGAGCATCTTCTGCTGCTTGGTCCGCCTGGGACTGCCAAGAGTTTGTTGGCCCGTCGCCTGGTGCGTTTTCTGGGGAAGGAGGCGGTCTTCTTCGAAGCTCGGCAACGGATCAGCTGACTGGACTTGGGACCAAAGCTGTTGTAAGTTTAGATCACGACTAGTGCATATCACACAGCAGAGAACCGTAGCCATACTATAGTCACATCTATAGCCACATACAGATATTCAAAAGAGATATCAACCATCGGAAGTACACATTACATCAGAAAATCAGAAATGCTGTACATTTGGGACTGATCTGTTGTCCAGCCACTGGAGACACCCAACGTTGAACAGATCCCTGGCCTCCCAGAAAGGCCATAGCATGCCATAGCCTTGGCTTCAGGGCTTCAGGCTGGTCACTCCGGAAATCAAGACCAAATCTTTGGCCCTACATCCTTTTACCATTTGAGCCAAATTTGAGCATGTTTTTGCCTTGTTTGGAACCTTGAAAGTCTGCAATTGGTTGCTGCTTCACAACATTGGCCCAGCTTGAGGAGCGCTTGCTGACGCGCTTTTCAGTACCAGAGGAGCTGTTTGGGCCTCTGTCTCTCAAAGGCTTGGAGCAAGATGAATATCTTCGAAAGACCACTGGATATCTGCCAGAGGCATCGATTGCCTTTGTGGATGAGATTTTTAAGGCCAACTCAGCTATCCTGAACTCCCTTCTATCCATTGTCAATGAGCGCGTATTTGACAATGGCCCTGAGCGCGTGGCGGTGCCTCTCCGCTGTTTGGTGGCTGCATCCAACGAGGCGCCGGAGTCGGAGGAATTGGAAGCGCTCTATGACCGGCTTCTCTTCCGCTTGATTGTGAATCCGGTCTCTGATGGAGGTGTTTCAGCTCTGATTGCTGCTACCGCCTTCAGCTCTGATCCTCAGGATTCAGATGGAGCGATTCCACTTGGTCTGGAGGATGCTGAACGTGCTCTGAAGGGAGCTGCAACAGTCACTGTTCCAGCTGTGGTGGTGGATATCTTCAAAGACTGTCGCAGTCATTTAGCCTCTCTACAGCCTCCTGAACTGGTCTCAGATCGTCGATTAGGACAAGCCGTGCGCATGCTGCAGGTTGTGGCATGGACTTGTGGACGATCGCAGGTGGAAGTTTGCGACTGTTCTTTGTTGGCACATGTTTTCTGGCAGAGCCTGGAGAACCGTGAGACTTTTCAAACATGGCTCCAAGCTCGTTTGGCGAAGAGCCGAGGGCGGCAACTGGCCGCCATCTTAAGTGGCTTGCTGGATCGGGTACTGTCCAAAGCGACGGCTGCTGCAGATCTTTTGGGAGAGCTCCAGGTCTTTCAGAGAGCCACTGAGAAGGAGATTGTTGAAGCAGAAAGGTGACTTGGTGAAGAGTTGAAGAGTGGACGGGACAAGTTAAAACCAAGTTCCTTTTTCAGCAAAGTCTTCACTTGTGCAAGTCCACTTTTGAAGTATTTTGTGAATATTGCAGAACAACGTCAACCATTGAAAGGGGCTCTCCGGCTTGATACATTTTTGTTCCTACTATCTCATGATGATGATGATGATCATCATCATCATAATTAATTAATCCTTTTAGTATGTTTTACAAATTTCCAGTGAAAATGACTATCCTGGTGATGCTGTGGAAAACGATGGCAATGCATGGTGACCATCACAACGATATTCAGTCAGAGAGACAGGCATTAAAGAACAATTACATTCAAGGGCTGTGAGAGCAGACACTTCCGCGCTGGACTTCCACAGGCAGCAACAACTGGCCCGAGCTCATTGCTGGTTGCCCCACAAAGAGACTCAGAACTTTTGTGCCGCGGTGGATTTGGAGCTGGATTCTCGCAGTGGGCCCAGGCGGCCATGGGTGATGTTTTCAAGGATTCTATAGCTGGGTGGTGCTTTCAGCGCTTTCCATACCTGGGATGATACCAATGATCAGTGATTTATATAATATTTAGTGAGTCATTTGATGAATACCCATATTTAATCTTGTTTAGTGTCATTTATTTAGTGGGATGAACATCCATTTACCAGCTATTTTGATGTTCACCAGGGGTACAAGGTTTTGACACACTGCCTCATATAAGTAATTGATGATACTTGAACATCAATTCAGACATTCTCAAAGACATGTTGTTTCGTTCTCCCCGAAAGATCCCTTTCGAAATTGCCAGTCTCCGGGTATCCCGCGCCACGGTTCACCCACTTTGTGTGGGCGCGAAAGGACTCTGCTGATGGAAGTGGCGCGTTTGTCCGCAGCAGCAGAGCTGGCTGCTGAGGAAGTAGATGTTTATGTGAGGTGCGGGGAGATTTGGAAGCGGTTACTTTGCAAACATCCCGTTTTATCCCACATAGCCCTTCTGCCACCGAGTAGGGAACACTCAGTTCTGATAAGCTTTTGATTCTTGGGATTTTGAATCGAGAAGTTGCTTGACAGCTGATGTGATGCAGTTACATGATATTGCTTGTGATTTCGCGATGGGCTCAATTGATCCCAGTTTACGTGTTTGTTGGTTGATTCTAGGCCTCTAGGCATGAAAACTCACGTGGACTGTGGACTTCTCAAGTGGTTTCCAACACTGGTACTTTCACTTCAGCATGATTCGGAAAATGTCACCAACTGAACAGCATATTCTTTATAGGTGGCACAGGATGACACTGCACTAGATCAGCACATAGCCCCATAGACCAGCACGGCCTGGCGGTAGCACTGGCTTGAGACCAATGGTGACCTTGATCAAGGTGATCAAAAAAGCGAATTCCAAGGACATGAAGTCAAAGAAGCGGAAGCGCATTGATCCCAAAGCCAAAGATGATGAGTTGTTTTGTGAGGAAGCCAGGCGCAGAAGTGCTGAAAAGGAATGCGCCGAATTGCAAGAGTCGTTGGACGCCATGTCAATGAAACTTAAGTTTGCTTGTGAGAACTCCATGTCAAAGAATGACGAGTTGTCTTGTGAGAAAGCCAGGCGCAGAAATGCCGAAAAGGAGTGTGCCAAATTGCAAGAGCAGTTGGACGCCATGTCAAAAAATGATGAGTTATCTTGTGAGAAAGCCAGGCGCAGAAGTGCTGAAAAGGAATGCGCCGAATTGCAAGAGTCGTTGGACGCCATGTCAATGAAACTTAAGTTTGCTTGTGAGAACTCCATGTCAAAGAATGACGAGTTGTCTTGTGAGAAAGCCAGGCGCAGAAATGCCGAAAAGGAGTGTGCCAAATTGCAAGAGCAGTTGGACGCCATGTCAAAAAATGACGAGTTGTCTTGTGAGAAAGCCAGGCGCAGAAATGCCGAAAAGGAGTGTGCCAAATTGCAAGAGCAGTTGGACGCCATGTCAAAAAATGATGAGTTATCTTGTGAGAAAGCCAGGCGCAGAAGTGCCGAAAAGGAGTGTGCCAAATTGCAAGAGCAGTTGGACGCCATGTCAAAAAATGATGAGTTATCTTGTGAGAAAGCCAGGCGCAGAAGTGCCGAAAAGGAGTGTGCCAAATTGCAAGAGCAGTTGGACGCCATGTCAAAAAATGATGAGTTATCTTGTGAGAAAGCCAGGCGCAGAAGTGCCGAAAAGGAGTGTGCCAAATTGCAAGAGCAGTTGGACGCCATGTCGACGAAACTTTTGGATCTAGAAGGACGGATGCAGATGCAGAAAGCAGTGTCTGGCTTGAGCCATGGTGTGAGTTGGCAATATGAAATGGATGGTGGCTGGGAAGCGTTTACACCTGAGGGAAATGAGAAGACGCATCAAGCATACCTGGATTTTTTGAGAGGCACTGGAAGCCAAAGTGCAACCATCCACTCAGGTGGAGTGGACCGTGTGGTGGATTTTGAACAGATGCAGCAAGCGCACATGGTGACACGCAAAAAGCGCCGCATCCAAATTTCACCTGGGGTTCCTCCTCAGTGGGTCACAGCCACGCCAGATTTGCTGCAACAAAGCAATGATTTGCACTCCTTCTACAAAGAGGTGACTGACGACAAGATTTGGGATTCACTTCGTTACATTCTTCAAAATACTGGTCATTCATGGGACCAGGCCAAAGACTGTTCCTGCATGCGAAGGGCAGAAGTGAAGTCGGTGCATCGCATTGAGAACATGCGTCTCTAGCACCGGTACAAAACGCGACTTGATGCCATGCGACAGGACCATGCGAGTTGCAACATTTCTGTTGGTTCGGCAGACTTGGATCTTGATGGCTATGGCAACATCATGGCGCAGTCTCAACAGATCTTCGACTGCGGCGAACCATTGGCTCTTGACATAGATGAGAAGATTCTCTTGCATGGCACGTCCTGGAAGAATGCAAATTCCATTGTCTGTGAGGGCTTTGACAATCGAATGTGCCAGAATGCCTTCTACGGCGCTGGCGTTTACTTTGCTTGCGCGGCGTGCAAGTCGCACCAGTACACCTGCAACCAGCACAAAAAGTGTTGCAGTTGCAAATGCCAGAGGACGGTGATCATTGCTCGGGTTGCGCTTGGTGATTCCTACGTTGCAACTGAAACCAGGAAGAAAGAAAGAAGGCCACCAGTCAGAAGTGGTTCATCTGGCACCTATGATTCCATTGTCGTGAAGCCCGGCCTGATAAAAGGCCATCACAAGCCCAATCAAGTTCATCAAGAGTATGTGATCTTCGATCGGGAGCAGGCTTATCCTGCTTTTGTTGTGGAATACACATTGTGAGGATCCCTTGGATGTATTTGACCCTGGAAGAAGGTTGATCCCTTACTTCGTGTGGGGATTGGGCATAGAGACTTGGTGTTCAATGTGAAAAAAGGACCTGCGCAGCCAGCGCTACCTGGCATCTTTGGATGGCTTCACCTTGGGCAGCACTGCATTTGCATCACATTCGGGCTGTTTCGTAGGCTTTTGCATGTGGGGTTGTTCATCATTTTCCCCAGGAAAATTGCAATAAATTGATTAAATTGGGGCATACCGCAGTTTTTAGATAAACCCAAATTGCAGGATTATATCCACGCTATTTTATCCCATTTTGGGATGGTAAGTTTTACTGCCCGCAATCAACTGACTCAACTGTTGAGAAATAGTCCCCACAAATTTGTCTCATAATGGTGTTTTGATGGGGCATTCCTTGTGAGCGCTCAAGTGTCTGGAAAATCCCAAGGTCAACTCCTTGGTCACAGTTCCGACTGGGTTTTGAAGACTTTGATTTGTTTCTCTTGGGGCACCAATAAAGAGCTGGTTTCTGATGGAAGGGATCAGCTGACCAATGGTTCAAGTCAAAAGTGTTCCAGGATGTGAAAGCGATGAGGAAACCAATTTTTTGGTGTGAATCATCCTATTTTGGTGCACCCACCCTCTACTACCCGCGCGGTAGACACTGCCATAAATTAGTCACCTGCTGATGGTTGGATGATGTTCGAACAGGATGTGTACCTCCCCTCTTTGGCAACGGGTCAAAACCTGTTCGACGAATCTAGTTTGACCCACACCTGACCCGACACAAAGGGTGCTGAATCTAAGAGTCTTGATTGCCGAACCTTGCCACTGACTCCCAGAGTAATTACTGTGTGTATATTTCAGATACTGGTTTGTCTAAAAATGGGGTATATTCATAAGAAAATGCCAGAGTTGACATTTGAATTGGAAAAACACATAGAAACCTCATTGGACTTGGTGGTACCCCCATTTTCATAGAAACTCAGAGATCAGTTTTTCCCGCCAGGAAGCGTCGAGCAGTGGGAGACCTCGAGTGGTCAGGCAGTTCATCCGATGCCTCGAGCCTAGTCCACTTGGGGATTTCATGGGGATTTAATTGGGACTTAATACACAGGGATTTGAGATTTAACAATCAACAATGGGGATTCCAATCCATTTACCCTCTGGGAATCAAACATGGGTATTTGGAAAATTCCCCATTTATCGATGATTTTCCCATTGAGACCTTCATTTATAGAGGACTTCCCAGCCATGTTTGATAACACCGGAGGGGATGCGAATCGTCGTCCCCAGGACTATCGACGAACAGACCTTCAAGCTGGGAAAGCACAAAGGCAGGCTTTTCAGCGAGGTGGCCGAAAATGACGTGGATTACTGCAACATGGTCCAATCCTCAAAAAAACTCAGCTGTTTGACTGCGACTGAAAATGGCATAGCCCCAATTTATGGCAATTTCGATGGTGACACATATATGATCAATGATCAAAATCAGCAGTGCTCTATTTTCAGACACATCCCAAAGCACCGATTGCGGTTTGGTATTGAGATGTTTGCGTGATGTCAGAATATCATGTTGTATTTTGCATGCAGCCGTTCTCAAACGAGGTGGAAAAGAAGGTTGCTGCAGGAAGTTTTGGAGGAGATTCGCCCTTGGATCGGTAGCCTGTCAGCTGACTTTTTGTGAATTTCGATTCAGACTTGTCCGCAGAAGTCCGCCATGTTGAAGCGGGCAAACTCAAATTTCAATCTTGCAATGATTTCATGTGTCTTATGTAATACTTGACATCCTTTATAACCTCCCACATTATCCCGACATGGTGCCCTGCACTATCAGACTGTTACATTGCTGAGGCAAGTTCGAGCTTTTGTCTCTTACCTCAAAGAAAGCCGAAGCCAGTAGCCACCTTTAGCAATTCGATGCAATTCCTTTTCAGCAGATGGGCTGAGTAGCCAAAGGTACCATGATGGGCACAAACTGCAAAGGTCCAGCGATGTGCACACTGATCGATTGGATAAAGAAAAATGCTGGCGGAAAATTTGCGAGACTGGAAACAGACCTTTGAGACCAGAAGACGAAACTTGAGAAAGCCTGTTCGTAAGTCTGGTGTGGGAGAGCTTGGAGCTGCAGCTTATTTTTCAAAGCTATTTGTCCGTGCAAATTTGCGATGAACGAGAACGAAACAGTAGCAATCTTTCTAAAACCTCTACCTAATTTGGTTCCACCGCTTTAATTATATCTATCTGAGCTTGCCCTTCCAAAAGTTACGTACAATGGTACATGGCACAGCCATTGGCTCCAAACAAGACCTAGCAGCAGTTGCTAGAGATGCTTGGACAGGCACAACCTTGGCCGGGGATATGGTCCAAGTTAAAGTGCATAACAACGCCGATGGCTACTGCCGGGACGCATAGACTGATAGACGTATGTCAAAGGTTTTTTTGCAAGTCCCCGTCAACGTTGCTGAAACCAAGTTCAATGATATGTATTTTCCATTTCCAGAGGAACCTCTCATCATAGTCAGCCAGTCAGCAGCCAAGCAGCAGACTTTTTTGCGATGGAAAAGAAACCCAAAAAGAAACGTGCGAAGCTTCCGCGCAAGGCGCGGACTGTTATGAAGGGTGCATCAAAGCTTGGGACTCCAACGTCAAACAGCAAATACAAGAATTGGTTCAATGGTCAATTTACAGGTCCTATAATTGATGGTAAAAACCAGTGGTAAAAACCTATAGTTTTTCCCCTTGAACTAGGCCAGTGGCAAAAGGGTTGGGCCGACAGATTGGTTTGGCTGGTATTTTTGCAGGGCGCAAAGCTCAGCGAAGCAGATGGTTGCAAGCTTAGCACACTCGTCATGGCCCTATGGCTTTGACAGGGACTTGTCAGGAAAGGTTTTTGGCAGGGTTGAATTTTTGCAAGGATGAAAGGATTCTGGCAACGCCAAGTCTCTAGGTGTGTTAGGAAATAGAATAAAATTCACTCTTTGCGCTAGGATAAAACTCACTCTTTGCGCCGACTCAGGTGGTGAAGAGATAAATCCAGGTTGCTTTTGGGCAATGATCACAAAACTGGACGGGTGTGGAATGGCTTCTGCAACTTCAGTTTGGGCAAGTTGCAAGAATCACATTTGTGAAGCTCACCAGACATGTTCAAGTGTGGAGCATGTCATAACCGTAGTCTGAGCTGAAAAATCAACAGCTCTCTGTTATTCCGCTGCCTTCTACAGGCTTGCTTTTGGGTGATTTTGTGGACGGCACGCCTGGAGCCCAGGGGCTTGTTTCACCCATCAACGGCCTTGGAAGACACGGCAGTGGCTGAGCTCGGTCTTGCCGAGGCCTGCTCTCACAAGTGCGCCAAAGAGCAAAAGGACTGCAAGCTGCACAAGCGATTCTGCTTGAAGTGCGGGCAAGTCTTGTAGGCAGGATTTGGCTTCTAGCAACCGCCAAAGAGATAGAAAAGGAAAATCCTACAGTCGTAAATTACTTCTCTTTCTTTTTGGAAATTCCTGTAGATTCCAAACCGCCAGTGATTTGGACCTATGCAGGAAAGGGAAGAAGCCCGTGAAGGCAAAGCAGGATGTAGAGGCGTTCATTTCAGTGAGATGTGTGTCGTTTGTTTGACCACCAAGATCTGGACAACTTTTCTTTCTGAATTCTTTCCTGATTGTTTGGTGTGCACTTTGCCTGGTTGCTGAACTTTCAGACTGCGCCCCGTCCAGCCAGGTGGATGAACTGGACGAGGCCGAGCCTTCCCGGTGTTTTTTTTTTTTGACAAGAAAAATTGCAGGTTTCATGGTTAAGTGTCCTGGAAGATTGCAGTTGGCCTTCTTTTTTGCATTGATGGCATTACAAGTCCTTGAAGGCAATTTGGTTTCAAAATGGATTTGCTTCAAACCGTGAAACTGAGGGAGTCCCCAATGGCAATTTTGATGGGGAACACAGAATACGATTTCGGGGTAGAAATTTTGAGACCTTAGTGTCCCAAATTTGGGCACAGCCCTGTCAGGATGCAGATGAGCCTGATGAGCCGCTGGCCGAGTTCCAGGCATCTGGACCATGAGATTACCTTATGAAACAGTTCAACGGTACAGCTGTGAACTTGCAGACATTGGGGATTCCACACAAACCACTTGACTTTGTTCTTCAAAATGCGGAGATGTGAGTTTCCAGGCTCGTGTTTTTGTTCTGCTTCAAGGTTTTGTGAGGTGATGAGATGTTCCGCACATTGCCCCCACTTTTGTTGCTCTCGGAGTTTCAACAATTTCAATGGTTTCCCCGTTGATGAGGTAAATCAAATAGTAACCCCCTAATGTTTGATGGTGAAAGGAATACCCATTTCTGGTAAGTCATTGGAACATTTTCACTCTTGTGGTACACCCAGTACCCTCTGGTAATTTAACATAGCTATTGAACATGGCCCATTTAGTTCGTCGATTTACCTATTAAACTTATTAACCATGATTATTTTCCATAGCTATATTAGTTTACCAGAGGGTAATCATAAATGGGTGGTACACACCATTCCCAAATGAGCTATGGTCAATACTCATGGTTAATAACCATTAATAGGGACTAGTCATCCAATGGTTCATAGGGATTTACAATAACCATTATAAGATTCCTTATTATGGATGGGATGACCATCAACCATATAGTGAGTATTGACCATGGCTCAAATGGTAGGTTTCTTGTTGGGTAGGCGTCCGAGCGGCTGCTGGGCGCTATGACTTCACTGGCGGCCATGGAGCGAGAGAAGTCACCTGAGCGGATTCTTCAGGCGCCAGCGAAGCAGGGCATCCGTAGGGATCCCTCCATTTCATGGGACTTCATGGGTATATGAACCCCCAATGTTATGGGTAATCAGAACCCCTATTCTGATGGGTAAATTGATAAATGACTCATGAATTGGTAGATTGCCCCCTATGATTTTTTGTGCTTGGATTACATCGGGAGTGTCTGAAGGTCCTTTTGGATGAATTGATATGTTTGAGGTGCGGGTTTTTGTTGAA